GAACAAGATTTATCTCATGTTTTGTACAAGCTATGATAAGTATGGTTTTGACAAAGATATATTATGTAAGTTTTGAAAGACCTCGGGAATCATTCATTTAACCCCTTTATTACTTATACAATTCACTAAGTATCCAAGCTCACCCTCCCTATGTATATATGTAGGTAACAAGCAAGAAGTCGGCTACGCCGAGATGTGTGTTTTGTATGCATGTTATGTCGGCTGTAAGGATGTCGGCAATCCTGAAGATTATGTTTCATGATTTGTAGCTCAAGTGTTTTGTTTATGTTGGCAATTTTTGAAGCTTATGTATTTTGAACATGTCGGCTCGAGAAGCCTTTTTCCAAGATGTAATATGTATTTTTGTACTTCATTTTTGTTGTATTCAAGTTGTAAAGCTATGTAAAGATGTATGCCATTTCACTTGACTTATGCACGGCTCTTATGGACCACTTGTATTTTGGATTATTGCTTCCGTACTTGTGAGCCCCCTATATCTATACTCTGATCGTGTGTGAATTTTGGAAGTTGGCCTTCGGTAATCACGGATTACTGGCCATCACGGCACCAAACTACTAGGGGCGGTTTGGGGTCGTGACAGTTTCAGTTTTTAGAATTCACTTTTTAGAAAATTTTACTTTTTTATTTTTTGTATTTTTTTGTTTTCAATGAAATTTTTAATAATTTAAGTAATTTTTTAATTTTTAGACACACCTAACATAAATACACTTACAAAGTATAATATTTGTGATTTTTTTTTAAAAAATTCACTAAATACAAAAAATACAAATATATATATACAAAAATTTAATACATTTTTCGTATTTTTGTGTATCTATTAATTTTTTAAAATATTTTTCACAAATATTTTACTATTTAGATACATCTAAATAAGGTGCATTTAAAAAAGTAAAAAAAATTACTTAAAATTTTAAAAATATTCACTAAAAATTAAAAAAAAAAACAAAAAAAATTCAATTTTTAAAAAACCTGAAACCAAATACACTAAATAGATTTTTGAGTTTTGGGCTGTCAATGTTGTTTTGCACATTGGCAACATCTTTTGGAGTATTGTTTAATTTGACTCCTTCAACATCTCAAGTGGCCTTCAATTCCTACTTTTGAATCTTGCATGATAATACTTTAGCATGGAGCTTAATGGTCTTTCCCTTCTCCCTTTTTTAAAATTTTTTTTTTTTTTTTCTCTATGTAATTGTAATTAGCTTGATGACATTTATAGTTAGTTGTCTATTATACATGTAGAAATTCAATATAGCAACAATATTATGTTATTATCACCAATCAATAATAAAATTATATATGTAACAGTAATGACATGGTATCATCGTAACATAAAAACTTATTTCCGATAAAGAGAATAAAAAAGGCAAAAGGAATGAAAAAAAAAAAAAAACTAACTATGATTGGTCGATGATTGGGCCTTTTAATTGGGCCCCTTTCTCATATTGGGCTAGCATTGTTGAGGTTTATGGTTAGTGGGTCAAACCCACATGTATTCCTTCCTCCCAAATAGTTGGACTTTGGAGATTCCACAAAATGCCAGCTTGCCCAAATGGAACACCTTAGTGAGGATAGGTCTGTCTTCATACTATACCTCCCCTCGTCCCCCTTTCTTCTGTATATTTATACACAGTGAAAATTAGTAGACATGTGAAGCTAACACACTCCAAATTTAGTAGCAAATTTAACAGCAAAAGCTCAGTTAACAAATGGTTTTTATTTATTTAAAGAATCTTTAATTATTTGATTTTTGTTTTCTCTGATGGGGACCATTGTGGTTCCACTGATTTTTTTCTTTTTCCTTTTTTTAAATTATTTTACAAAGATCCAATCACATTTTAGTTTCTCATGTCATATGTTCCATATTCTTTTTTTTATTTTAATTTGGTTTGCAGTGTCTGTTAAAGTTGTGTAACTCATTAATTATAGTATATATATATATATATATATGCTTTAAGATTAGACAAATCTTAGAACAATCTTATGATAAATTAAATTTGAAAGATGGAATTCTCAAAATAACCATCATAGCAAACCATGACATGTGGTTTTTTGAGGATATAGATTGGAGAATAACTAATCAAGTTATTTTTCAAATTTTAGATCCAATCCAATGGATAGATTATCTAATGATCATCAAAGCAATGCTCTCATGCATAGTAAAAGGCTTCCGATGGAGCAAATATTTTACTTTTTGCATCTCCAGCACTGTTGGTTGGCGGGAACGAGAACATTTTTTTCAACCATACCAGATTTGGTATCTTAAAGAAGCTAAAGATTTTGAATTTGAAGATGATTATTTAGATGAAGATCACCGGAGGGAGTGATTGCAAAATATCCAAAACTTTCTTTGACAGAATATTGGATAGACAGTCTAATATCTGTTTCACAAACAGCGTCCAACATCCATGGTTCAACAAAATTGCCATTCATGGTCACAGATTGAAGAATACTATTTGTAACTCATTTTCCCATAACATATCAAAGGTCTCCTACGCAAATTAATGAGACTCTTGACATGTTATTAAATCTCAAAAAGAGAAATAATTTGGATTTTCCGTTGGAATTAGCCATGACCGCGGATGATGTAGAACATTTTCAGAATGAGCAATACAGCCAGGATTCGGATTCTCCTTTCCCCTCTCATAGCAATGGGGACCATTTCTGTCAATATCATTCATTTACATTATTTATTTTAGTTTAATTTATTATATCCTTTTCTTTTTTTAATTTTATTTTTTTTTTGGCCCTAGTATTAAAAAAAAGAATTAAATTAAATTAGTAAAAACAAATAAAATAATTGTAACATTATCGAAGTGTAAGTTGGGTTTATGCTAAATAAGGGCATAGTTTTCATTTACACTTTTATATATTTACAATTACTTTAAGTTCTTCCATTAATTTATAATTTTTTCAAAGAAAACTCATGCACAAGTGATAATGACATTGACACTTTCTTAGGAAGTGAAAGTTCAATTGAATAAGCAAAGAAATGAGAAACAGCCCATTACATTAAAAAACTTTCGAATACTACATAGGCATAGCGATGCCATAATAAAACTTGATCTCCTTTTTTTTGTCCTTAATATAGGAATCTCGAGACATTTTTCAACATGAATATTTTGAAACAAAAGAATTGTTTGTTAGAAAATATGGTGTTTTTCAAATTCTTTTATCTCCTTATCTATGTCCTAATATAAGAATCTCGAGATATGAGAAAAAATTATAGAGCAGAAGATCCAATGTTAAGAGAACTGTATTATAATTTGTTTGGGGCTTATGTGGCATGAGAGAAGTAAATAGGGAAGTTGTCAAAGCATGTGGAAGGGGCAGGCATATGATTTGGGTGGGCACATATATATCTATGAATTGAAGGCACTACATGTATTTGCTCCAATTACAATTTTCCCCACCAGTAGAGAAGACCACATGGTAAAGATAGATAAGAGGGGTGGGTTGTGGTCCTTCCCATGTGCTCTCTTCTTTCTTTCATTATCTCAAAATAGAAAATTTTGTGGTGTAAGTGCTAAAAAGATCGCATCATACACTGACTAAGGTCTCATCAAACACTGGCTAAGGTCTTATTTGACGAGTAACTGTTTTAGTTTAAAAGTCAAAAATTTACTAAAAAAATCAAAAATCCTATAACCTATACCAAAAAATTAAAGATCTCATCGTAAAAAGCTAAAAAGTCACCCCAAACATACTAATTTTTTTTATCTCATATTTTAGTCAAAAAATCAAAAAGTTAGTAAAATAGCCTGTTCCCAAACGAGGCCAAGTTTGTTTTGAACATGACTATAACAAATGCTCTTCTCAGTTTACCCAAAAAAACGTACTGTATAAGAGAGAGATGTCGAAGCCTACCATCAAGTATTGTTATTTCGCTTCATTAAGATAGTATACAAAATAGACAAAAGCGAGCATGATGGCTTATTAAGAAGTGCTTTGATTCTTATGTTGAAATCGACTTAACTGTCATATTCGGCTTGGATTTAGAAAATGAAAACAAGTAAACTAACATGACTAGTGTTGTACCAATTTATATTGGATAATAACATGGAGAGTTCAAATCAACAAACATGCCCAACTTGAAATAAAATAGTGATCTGTCATAAGTCTCATCATTTGAAAATCCTACTAACACATAAAAATTATTCAATAAGTACTTGCCATATCATTGGAAGTTGATTTTGGGAGTCTAAAATTGATGGGATATAGCATTACTAGACATATTACAGTAGCCAATAAATACCTATTTTGGCTTTTAAAAGTTGCCTTAAAATTCAATTTTCCTTTTCTAAGATTAATATAGTGGCAGCAAGTGGCCATTTGATTCTGCTTGATTGAGTTCAAAAGCAAATAATTTAATAAAAATAACACCACCACTTGCTCTCTCAATTAATAACTACAGAAATTCTAAGTCAGTCAACTGGGTGGTTTGCTCAGATTCTGTCATTGGCTTCTTCAACTGTCGGTTGACCCCCAATATGTTCAATGATCGGAAATTAATTGTAAAATTCAATGTAAACAAATTACAACTTGATTAACGATTCTAAAATTTAGACATCCTAATTAATGCTGGAAAGGATCTCCCATGTCTCATCCATCTTCCCATCAAAATACAGAAGACATTGAAGGAGCAAAATTAACTCATTCAAAATAAAACCAATTACGAGGACGAAGTGGAGATACCACTACATATGCAAAAACGATTAATAATTCGTCCACCAAATTTGTTCAACCCAAATGAGACTCTGACCGATTTTTGAAAACTCTTACCAGTCAGAATCTCATTTGGACTGAACAAATTCAGTGGATGTAGCGGTACTAATCATGTGAGAAGCAATTCTACTGAAAGCATTTAGATTTCTTTGTTCGAAAATACAATGATATACTATTCATAAAAAATCTCCAAATGGGAACTTATATCTCTGATAAAAGTTGCCATAGAAAATGTCCAGACCTAATCTCACAAGTCACCAAAAAAGTACACAGACTACTTTTGATCATCAACAAGAAGACTACAGCATGCTACAATGCTCGGTAACAAGCAAAAGCTACATTAACATCTTTTTTCTTTTTCTTTTTGTTGGATTCGGAATCAAAAAGCTACACGATGATCAATCGTTACCAATTCATGTTCAAAAAGCCAAAATAAATTACAAAACACGAAATGCACCAACTATGACGAAACTCTTCCTGTATAAACACCCCGCTAGAATAATGATAAAGGTGTCAATATAACAACTTACCAAGATAATTTCTTGTAGAGAAATCTGGAACCATTGAAGATCACAGGTGCAGCATTAGAGCAGCCGTCAGAGCGCATGCCCAGAAGTGTTTCTGCAAGTAAGAATTCTCTTTGAGATGAAAGTCGAAAACCCTTATTGGTATCTTGCTGACCTCTGCCTTGCAGCAGTGTCATTGGAAATTGAATTTTATTTCCAATAATTCAAATGAATTTAACCTCAACCCCCTTGGCTAAGCCTGTTAACGCTTCTTCAAAGCAAGAAACACCTCACCAAGTTGCGATGCACAAGTGGCATGTGCATCTGATTCCAAAGATTTAAGAAATGATTTAGACAGGTTAAGACTTGTTATAATCTGGAAGACTTTGCTGCAGAACTTACGCACTTCAGCCCGTCTAGCCTGTTTTTCTGGCATATTTGTAACCAACTCTTTTATCAAATGACACAGTTTGGGAAGATGACTGTTCAAAGTTTTCTTTGATACAGCCCGTCCACTTTCATCAGTACTAACAGAGATGAGTGATTTGAGTATTTCAATCACCAAGTCAAGCGCTTCAACTCTCCGAAACTCTGATTTTGAACAGCAACATTTCTCCAAAAGGAATTCAAAGAGATGATGACCAATCCACGGTCTTCTTCTAAATATGTCTTTCAAAAACTCTGCCTTCATTTGAGACTTTTTACTTTCAAAAAACGCTGCCAAAGCACCACGGAAAATATCAAAAACCTTCTGCAACTCAGATTCAGGAAACTTTCTTGAATCAATGATCTTCAGAATCCAAAATGTTGAATTCTGAGCTAGGGATGTTATTATCTTGTGTCGATTCCAAGAGGCTGATTGCTTCTTCTTTGATGGATTGGCAACAGATTTCTTTTTCTTAAATGGTTTTGATGCCAACTTCAAGTTCTTTTCCAACAGAGGTTCGAGCATAGATAGTTGCACAGATTCTCCTCTTGGATAGTCCTTTGCTTTGAAAATTTTCTTTTGCAGAATCCCCCATATGCGCTGACCAAACTGCTCACTACCTTCTGCAGTATGTGGGTTGACAAATGCCTGGGCTAGGTTAGAGTACACCTTCAATACCTGGGGCTTTCCTGTATGGCAAAATAGAAGTAGAAAAATTATTCATCCTTGAAATATCATAGAAAATACCATATATGGAGATGTCAACTTTCAAGTGCAAAAAAAGATTCATGTAGCCAACGCCACTTGATTGGGACAATCGCTTAGTTTGGTTTAGAAATAATATAGAAATTGTTTCAAAATCTAGACCCTTCAACAAGCAGGAAAATTAACAGATCAAAGTCAACCAAAGTCAAAACATAGTACGTTAGATAACTGTTATTTAAAAATATAAAAGCACAGAATTTTTAAATGTCTTCCAGCTTGTTAGCCAGTGACCATTTTGTACAGTCTAAAAAAAATCCCACAAAAATAATTCATATGTTTGCTATATACATATATGCACACACATACATTCACAAGGCTTGTTGAGTTGAGTATAAATATATATACATTCACATATAGTTATGGATATCTAAACTCAGATGCACACATATCCTATACATAACTAACAAACCATTAGAAGGGAGAAGAAAAATAAAAAATGAAAATGAAAATCTGATTATCCTTCAAGAACTCACACATATAGAGGTCTATAGAAAACCATTAAGAATGTATTTTGTATAAAGAAAAAGAGCCAATCATGCCACTTACGGATCATAGAAAACCACTTGGTAAGATTCAAACTGAGTTTGGCAAAAACTGAACAGGCTGGTTCATAGATACCCAGAATGGATCAAGCCACTTACCAATCAGCCATCTGATCGAATCTTTAACTTCTAAATTGTTTTCTAAGAAAAATAGTTGGGGGCAATGTAGAACACGTAAACCAACCTAGATGATGGTCTCTCTGGTCAAACCAGACAGTCTGGTTGGGGTTTTGAAAACATGTTATTGATCATGTCACTAAAACATTTGAAAAGATTACATAAAAACATTTCAATTAGCATTCAAACATCTAAGAAATGCTCCTTAGTCAATCATATGGTTACCGTTTTTACTGCTTAAGTTTCTTCCAATAATGCCAAAGTGACTTTAAGATTTCTAAAAGGCACATTCGGATTTCAAATGTTCAGCATGACTGGAACTGTGATGCAGCCGGTATAATCAGACAAATTTCAAACCATTTATACACGTTTTAATGCCTTCAGTAAACTGATTTCCTGAAAGTAAATTAAACTTAGCTTTGACAAAAAAGACTTGCCTTGATTCTCTTGCAAGTAAATCTCCAACAGCGAGAGAACACGAAGTTTGAAGAGTGCAAGCTGAGAATGAGCAGTTTCACCACCAGCCTGGTTCTTGCGCTCTTTTAAAATTCTCGCAAGATAAGTATCCATGCGGAACATTGCATCATCATCCATACCCCCATCAGAATCATCAGAAGCTTCAGTAAGTTCTTTGTCAATCGTCTCAACCCCAACTACTGCCTCAGAGTCATCTGTCTGCTCATCACTCTCAGCCGTTTCACCTGTCTCAGCCTCGTCAGATTCCTCAGCTTCTTCGATGCCAAAAACATCTTCAACATCATCGTCGTTGTCGTCATCATCTTCACTGTCTTTATCTTGATGTCTAGCTGGTTTCAGATCCTTCTTTATAACCCGCAACATCCGAAGCAGTCCATTGTCCGTGACATCATTGCAGAAATATTTAAAAACCTGCTCAGAAATTATAGGTATCAATAATGAATTATATAGCAAGCATTTAAAGTTCTGTGAATAAATAAGCAACATAATAAAACCAGTTAATGCCTTTGCAAAAAGTCCCGTATACTTTAAGAGAGGTGTAGTCACAACCAAACGCATGAATGCACTGACTAAGAAATATGTGTTTTGTTTAATTTTGAAAAATGGTTTTTCTGTTCTCAAGATAGAAAACAATGAGAACTATACAAAAAACAAAAAACAAAATTTGTTTGGCAGATTTTCCAGAAACCGTTTCGGGAAGGTTTCTGAAAACACTAAAATTGTTTTCTGAATTCTCGAAAATTGTTTGCATATGAAAATGAAAACGATGATTTTCCGAACTTTTCGTTCTTTTTGCTTCCAAATGAAAATGGAATTTTTTAAAATGATACTAGACAGTCTAGACAGGCATAATGTCTGTATCAACACAATCATGACTTGCCAACAAAGAGTGGCTCCAGATTAAGCAACCATGACCTACCCTGTCATTTCGCCTCGTGCAATTAAGATAAAAACATAAATCTTCTGGTAACCTTTGGCATATGATAGGCTACAAGCGTGACGCCCCCGACCTCCAGACTATTATATTATATTATTCTAATAAGTTTAATTGCATGATTGTGTGTTTAATTGTGTGATTACATGCTTAATTTTGTAGTTATCTATTGTCACATGGAATATCTGTTCAAATTGACAACTTAGAGACAAAAATTGACAGCCGAGACGGCTTCAGAAACTGAAATTGATTAGTGTAATAGACTAATTAGAATATTTAAAATTTTATGGCAACTTTAATTGAAAATTGATTTTGATCAAATAATTAGAATAAACTGATTGAACTTAGTTAGAAGTAAGCCTAATTAATTAACCTTGATCAACCTTGATTAGGCTAAGCTAATCACACCATATAAATAGGTTAATTAAGTCTTGAACTCATATATACACACTCTTGGCTGAAATTTTGAGAGAGGGAGAGAGCAACTCAACATCTAGAGAGAGAGAAAGGAGAATTTGAAGGAAATTGTGGAGAACTTGGGAATTTAAGCTAGTATATATATACTTGAATCAAGCCCTAGGTATGATCTTCAACCTTAATCTTTGAAGAAGGAACATGTAGGAATTTAATTCATCTAAGTTTTGAGTTCATTTGCATGAAATTGTGAAGTAGAAGCTTGAATCACCTTGAATTTGAAAGATAAGAGTTAATCATGTACATGCATGTATAAAATGAGTTAGAATTCATGAAATTCTCTCATGCATGGCACTTTTACACCTCAACTTGAAGAGTCCTTCATGTTGTCATCCCTCTCACATCAATTGATTATGTTTTGAAGAAATACACACTCAATTTGAGTTAAACTCGTTTTATAATTTGAAGTTGGAATTTGAAGTTGAAGAATTACTATGATTTTGAGCAATTGGTTCCAAATTCACTATGTTTCCATGTTTTATAAAGTTTTCCTATGTTTTTGTGCCTAAAACACAAGTTTGGAACCTTTGAATATCAACTTTGAAGTTCAAACACAGTTCTAGAAATCCCAGGATTCGCACTGTCCGCTCGAGCGTGAAAATCGAGCTTCCAGAAGTTTTGCAAAATTTTACAGGCTGCTCGAGCGACCAAAGTGGTGCTTGAGCGAGGACCACTTTTTCCGCTCGAGCGACCGTCGAGCGGAAATTTCATGCAACCAATACTTTTGCCAAGTTTGCAGACCGCTAGAGCGACAGAATCTGCGCTCGAGTGACTACCATTATTTTTGAACCCCCGCTCGAGCGAAGAAAGTTACGCTCGAGCGGAGACCCTATTTCCAGCAAAATTTGACTAACTCTTCCGAGTGTATTTTTGCATCCTCATAACATTCCAAGTGTTCTTAGGCACCAATTAAACTCACACAGTCATGGAATAAGCTAGAAACACATAAGAGAATTGAATTAAAATGAAATGGTGCTTCAATTGTGCTTTTGTTATGTCTTTTGTATAGGTGGACGTTCGAGGCTTAGTGACAACATAACCCACTGTGAGTAATAACTTTATAAAGATATGTTCAAGTTATGTTTACTTTCGAATATGTTGTTGCTATTGAAATTGATATATGATTGATAGAATGGCCTATTGAAGCGTTATTTTCTCATAATATATGAAGTTCTGCTATAAAATGGTATTGTGGCATCCATTGAACGTAGGCCCTTGCCTGGGGGAAACAATACCATGGCTAGGCCCTTGCCTAGGGAAAACAATACCATGGCTTTTAGATTGATTGACACATAGAGATCTCTAGTGTTAAACCGTTATAATCCATTCTTATTGGAATGTTATTACTTCGTGGATGTACCATATAAATTGATATTAAAAGATATTGATGATGAAGTTAATGAATTATTGAGAATTGAAATGAAATTTGATTTGGCAATGTTACTGAGCTTCATTCATATAACTTCTTTATTCTGTTATTACTCACTGGGCCTTAACTCATTATTTATTTATATATATATATGCAGGTAAGCAAGCTGAGCATCAAAATTAAGAAAGCCTCGATCTACCCGGGTCAGTCTTTTAAGGAACTTCCAAGTGAAGTAACTACGCTCAGTTGGAGCCATCCTAGTTGAGCCCCCTTTTTGCTTGATAAATGCTTTGTATGTGTATATTTTGGAGTTTTGTGAGTTTTGTATAACTATAAGATGTGGTGTATGTACATAAAGAGTGAAACTCTACACATGATATGAAGCCCTTTTCATATATGCACGGCTCAATGGATAATTCCTATGTTGTTTTAGACTTCCGCTAAGCCCCGTACTCTATATTTAAAAAGGTCATTTGTATGGAGGCCTCAAGTAATCTAAGATTACCGGCCAGTCATGATGCTAAACCTATAGGGGCGGGTTTGGGTCTTGACAACAAGTGTCACTAATGTACCTTGCAACCAGATTTAGATATGTCTCTAGACCAAAATATCGATGGAACTCAGCCTTTTTGGAGCTGCAAATTAAAAATTCTATTGTTTGTACTTCTGTTATTTTTCTAACTTCAAACCACCAACTGCACTAAAACAAGCAAAAATAATCTGATATATCCAACATAGAGAAGCTAGAAGGTGATCTTTATCACTGTTGTAATCCTTCCAACATTGAAATTTGGTCTCAGTTGGTGAGCTTAGATGTAGAATGAAAATTCATCATGGTGAGAATCAAAAGGCACAAAGCTGATAGTAAAATTTTAGAAACATCACAAACTAAATTACAAGTCTTAGACAAACAAAAGAGGAACAGAGTTGTTCCTGCATTCACCTGCTCAATAGCAGAACGCATAGGAGCAGATGATTGCGGCAGCAAAGAAAGTAGTGTATCCACAAGGACATCCATTAACATGGGTGTTCCATCACCATCTATTTCATCTTCTCCAGAAGAGTCGAGAAGATCAGCAGTGGAAAAAGCTTTCTTACAGCAAATAATGAGTTCAGACACAGCTTCAGAGAATTCCCCTGGTCGAAGGAGAACTTGCAGCACCAACTGGATGAGCAAATACCTCAGGGCATGCAACTTATTTGCACCTGCACTGAGTCCACAGTTCCTTTCCTGCACATGATTATAAATCTTTATACACTATATATCAATTCACATAAAGAGCATATGAACTAACAAATATAGGCTTTTTAAGGGTAAGAGCTCATGGATTCAAGCTTGTTGCAGAACAACAGGTCTTATGTACCATAATTTAAAACTTGGCAACTGTTCAAATATAAGATGGCCCACTTAGGAAGAGCATAAATCAAACAACTATAATAGATAACCAGTTTCAGATAAAGCAATTTGTCTCTTATCCTAAGACAAAAAAATAAAAATAAAAATAAAAAATTCCATATGTCAAGAGTACTAACATTGAAGAAACCCCCAAACACCCCTTTTTCATCGATAGCCTACTTTTCGATAATGAAAGGCCTATCTTGTCAGTGGCACAAATCATGCCATGAAAAAAAAAGAAATAAGTACCTCTCTCGATAGCCTAGTTTCCATTGCTTGTAGTTTTTTGAATGCTTTTTCATCCTCATTGTTCAAGGTCATAAAGAGTGACACTGATGGAATGTTGCATAATGTATTAAGGAATTGCATGAAGTAAGACCCAAGATCATTTGTCTCGAGACCACTTTCCATCAAGTGAGACCCCTCTCCCTTCTGAGCATTTGCCAGCAACAACTGAACCTGCTCAATGCACATCCTGCAAAGAGCGCTTGAGGTGGCAGCTTTCGGCCATCTAAACTTCTCTTGTAATTCAAAAGATGTTATTTCAGTGCCGAGTGATGAAGAAAATATACCCTGAACAGCTAAAAACTTCAAAACTTCCTTTTGCACCTGAAACTTTGCTTCCGGATCTAGATGTAAGTGCTTCAAAACACTGGGAAGGGAATCTATAACCCAACTTTTCAAAAAATCAGAAGTTCCCATTGCCCCAACAGAATCCTTATCCTCAACTGAACCTATCTCTGAATTGTCATCAGTTGTTTGACTCTGATCTGAAGGTTCCTCTGAAGCATGGCCTTCATCCAGAAACATGCTCATTAAGTTTTGAATCAACAACATGCAGCCAGATTCAGTTTTAAATTCCGCCATCAAATCTTTTACTGTTTTTGTCCGAGTTATGGAATCAAATGTCCCATTGCTGTGCTTCTGCAAGGCCACAATAACAGCTACTCTTCTGACATCATCACTCATCACCCAGTCTGATAAATGTTTTAGAAAATGTTGTCCAACTTTGAACAGCCAAGAGTCCTTGGTGGAAAGTATATCCATCAGGCACTGAACAAGCTTGTAAGACAAAACAATTGGGACACAAGATGTGGGCAGCCTCGGTAGGAGAAGAAGCAGAACATCAAAAACCAAGTGTTTACGGTCATGTGAGGACGACAGAAGGCATCCTTCAACAACAACTTCAAAAAAACATCGAAGGTTTTTCTCAATCTCTTCTTCAGATGAGCTACACTTGCGATTTTTTTTGTGCTTCTTAATGGAATTTAAACCTGATGTTGAATCCACATCTTGCAAAACCATATCAGGTAAAAGAATATTAACCAAAACAGGCCAAACACTATGAACTCGAGGCTGACAGAAAGTAGATTCCTGCAATATTACCAAAAAGAAAAAGATCAAAACAATTTCCTCCTCGTTAGGAATGCTTGCTGCTGTAATATGAATCTGAAAATCACCTTCAAGCAATTAGAAATGGAGGATAAATGATCAGCTGAAAAGAGACCACTAGGGCTATATGGATCAGGCAGAAGTTTGCCAAACACTTTGCGGTCGACAGAAATTCTTTCTCGCACTCTGAGAGCTAGAAGCAATGCATCAGGATTTCCAACCTCAATTGCTCCAATAAACCACTCTTGCAGCCCTGGAGCTTCAATTACTTGATTCAGCAAGGCTTTCACTGGTAACTGCAATACCATAAGCAACATTAATTTTTTATATAAACCAAATAGAGAATAGAATCTAATAGTTCCATTGCCAGCTCCAATGTCAGAGCAGATAAGTTTATAGGTATGAAAGGAAATAAAGAAAAAATGAAAAGTGAGAAAGACTAAAGCAACAAAAAGTCAAGAAAGCAATGACTTTGTGATTCCAACAATCAAGCAGGAAAGAAAAGAACACTATAGCACAATGAGTCCACATGCATATGAAGAGAAATATACGCAACAGCAGCAAATACGCACAACTCAGAGAGAGAGAGAGAGACAGACAGACAGGCAAAGGGAGAGAGAGAGAGAGAGAGACTTCACCAATTACAAACACCAAGAGCAGTGGGTGGATCATACAATAGTTTCTGTTCAATCTGTTGTTCAAATTAATTATAGGTTACATAGGTTCTATGAAGCACCGACACTTCAAAACAAGTGTCGTATCCGTGTTGTACACACGGACACTTCAGGGACACGCGGACACTTCAGGGACACGAATGGGACACACCTCGTGGCGTGTCCCTCAATTAATTTATTTTCAAGAGAGACACCAAGGGCACTTCGGAGACACACTAGGGACATGCGAAGTTATCTTTTCTCCCATTTTATTTAGTACTTTTGATGAATGTTTAATATTTATTATTTTTTTCATAAGTTTAAATACTTAATAGATCATCCATAAAAAAGATATAAACTATTAGTGTTAATTTAAAAGTACTTTTTTAAAAAAAGAAAAAAAAAAAAAGAACTAGAGTTACTTTTTGTTAATATTGGTTGTTTGTGAATGTAATACTAATCTAGATAGCACATAAAAATATATGAAAACATTTTTATTGTCGTGTCCATGTCTCTATTTTTTTTAAATCGCCGTGTCCCGTGTCCGCATCTGTATCCTTGCCCGTGCTTCTTAGCATAGGTTCCATTCAATGATTGAAGGGTGAGTTATCTCCAATCAATATGACATTTGGAGTACCTGACACATGCGGAAGGGATATGCCTAAACATTAGTCCTCACTAAAAATATGTTGCTTGGACAAAAAATATTGAAATGTAATTGACACAACAGACAACCTGATGCAGGATACTCACGGATATATGTATCACATTTTTATACGTCCCATCCATCATAATACTTTCATCCTACCTTTCCCTTTTCCTTCCCTTCCCCTTAACAATAATACCAAGATAAAAGGATGGCCAATGATAATCACCGTGACATTTTTTAACATGTTTTGTGTGACAATGAATGGGAATCTGCTTACACAAATCCACCATATAATACGTTACATGAAAAGATTAGCATGGAAGCTGTTTTGGAGAGCTAAGTATTAAGGCTGTGTTTGGAACAATTTACTAACTATAATTCTACCCACACATTCTAATACGATGTTTGGATAGGATGTTCAAACTATATTTCCACAACATTTAGAAAACTCTGTGTGAGGCGCGATTTTCAAAATTTTTTTTTTTTTTTGAAATTTGGCCTAACCAGCTATTCCACCGGACGTCCCACCGGTCGTCCGGCCGGTTGACCGGAACAATGCAATTTTTTTTTTTTTTCTTTTTTGCAATTGACACATGTTAATTTTTATATATTCAGAAAAAATATTTTCCGAATTTTTAAAAAAAAAATTATGAGCTTTAATAGAATTTTGAGTTATGTATTTGGTTATGAGTTATAAGTTTTTGTATCAAATATCACATGTCACATCAAAAATTCCCCACTCGATTCAAACTCATTCACCAAACAAATTTTCCACACTCAAATTATAATTCCAAAACTCACAAACTCAAAATACAACTCTTATTCTCAAATCACATTTAGAAAACTCTACCAAACGCTACCTAAGTTTCTCCAAAGCACCATATGATTACCATGAAAACAAAAGGGTATCCAAGAAAATTTTAGAAACACAATCAAATGACATAAACTTTACGTAGATCTGGAATTTGATTAGGAACAATTAACTGAGTACTGGAAGCCTGTAAAAAAAATCCACATTGAAGCAACTTGCATGCAATTGCAAAGAAGCCACTGTCATACTGAATAATCACCAACTATTTTCAACAATCAAAATAACATATGCAGAAGACAACACTCAAAGATAAGTGTATTTTAAATAGCCTCTTCATATGCGTTCCATTTAAATGAATGGAGCAACATGATGGATTTATTTATTAAATTTTTCCCACCAAGAAAAGAGGTGGGACAATTTGGAGGCATGAGGTAGGCAAGGATATGTAAATAACTTAGTGACAGGACAACGGAATCAAGCCAGACAGCAGAAAAAATGTGTTTGGTTTGTGTTTTGAGATAAATTTTCAAAAAAAAAAATTGGAAAGAGAGTTTAGAAATTTTTTTAATTTGTTTGGTTGTATATTTTGAAAATAGTTTTGGAATTTGGAAGTTTGGGATGATTTGATATTTTATTGTAGTTGAGTAAATGCGTGTGAGAGAAAAAGTGATTGAGAAAGAGAGGGGAGAGAGAGAAAAAGTAATTGATTGATGTGTAAGAGAGAGAGTAATTTTCGAAATGTTTTTCAAAAAATTTGAATCAAACAAAATTTGGAAATTTTTCTCAAAAATTGTGTCTTGAGATGCAAACCAAACAAGCCCTAAAACACCATTCTTCAAGAAATTCCCTGTTGTTTCAATCTAATAGCTTATATGATAGGAGAACCACATAAAACCCAAATTATCAACCTTGTCTCAGATGAAATGGCACTCAAATAATCTTAAATGTGAAGAAGAATAGATACATAGTTGTATAACTGCATGATAAACTTAATAGGGAATGAAGTACCTTTTCAATTAAGTCAAAAATAACTGAGACAGCAGGTTCTTGCAAGTACCGCTTCTTGGCTGCAAGGGAAATAAGGGAGCTGATAAATTCTCTGATGGAAGCAGATTTTTTATCAGAAACCAATTCTTCAGTTAGCCTTCCTGATCGTGCGACAGCCCCATAAGCAAACAAGCGACCCAAAAGACAATCCCTCACTTCCTGCAACACAATAAAGAGAAAAGTAGGAGCTTCACATGAAAAAAGAAAGAAAAAAAGGACACCTCACCAAAGACTAACATAAAGGAACTTTTTCCCACCTGGCCCTTCATTGAAGAAGAGACCTCCAACAAATCAACTATCAATTTCAGCAATGCATCAACTTTGATGCTTGGAATTGCACCAACTAATATAGTCAAACCCAATGCAAAGCCTTGTCTTGCACACTGTAAAGGCATAGAAGACCGCACACACGCCATAAGTAAGTGAGAAAAAAAAATGCATTTAGGCATATTCCAACAACAAAAAATATTCTGCAAGAAGATATGCAGCACCCAGCATTGAACTAACAGACAATGAGTAACTTAACTCCAAATAGTCTTATATGATAAACACAAGCAATAGATGATCCAGCCAAAGCAATCACAATTATGAGCCCATTAGCAGGTTTCATGACTTCAAAGAGAAAGTGTTTAAGGTTTGCACTGGAGATCCATCAACAAGAATATTCAATTATCTATGCATAACATTACATCTACAAATCATAAAAAGATGAAATATATTGAAAAATGTCTGATTGAATCTCATGGAGGAGAGGGATTGTCTAAACAAATATCAACCACTGATGACTTAAAAATCAAGTCACTAGTAGCACCTTCCATTATCCTAAGGAAATTTATATTTGATTGTATAGTGTATACCTGCTATGCACCCAAAATATACGGTTGATTCTTTTTTCATCATAAAATGGTTAAGGGAATCCCGTTGAGTTCTTATGTTTACATTCGAAAGGATCTCATCACATAATTATCTATGACTATTTATGTCTCTAGCAAGACCATTTGATGAAATGTGGAGGGAAGTGGGTGAAATGGTTGATACGATGGAAGGATTCTTCTCTGGCTAATAGGCACTATAACTGGTATTCTTGTGATCAGTTTAATAGGTATTTTCTTTTATGCTTCATATTCCGCTATGGGAACTTCTTTGAATTTCGAAAAAGAGTAATAAAATTCTCGGATTTTTAACACTTGAACCATGATATGAAATGAGTCGATAAAGCATAAATTACTTCTTTGGAATATGCTAAAACTTAAAAACTACCTGATTTTATTAAAAAACTTTCCTTCATTGATTTGATTATTTCAACAGAGGCAGAGATCCATATTGGAAATAATAAACAAAGTCAGAATTAGAACCATAAGAGGTAAGTAAAAGAATGCAACATGGGAAAATGAAATGATACATTCCAAGCAATTTTTGTCTTTCATTTTGTATTCCAAATGTAAAGATGAGCAATTCAGTTTAAAAAGAACACATATGAGGATGTTGTTTAGAAAAGACGAAGAAAAAAAATAAAGGCACCACTCAAATACATTCCACAAATGCAATAAAGTTATACAAGATCATGAATCAAATCAAATGAGCACACCTCTCTTGATGAAGAAACACCACGTATAAGTCTCCGAACAGCATATCTCAAAGAAGGTGCACAGTTATTCAACCCATCATCCTTTTCTGCTTCCAATTGCAACCCACCATCAACCAGCTCCTTTTTCTCTAGCTTATCATACGCCATTTGGACTTCCCGCAACTCTATTACCATTGCTTCAACTGATGCTTCTCTTACACTAGCATCAGCCGATGCAAGGCCCTTAAAAACACTAATATGAAACTCAGGCAGACCACCACTCGGCGAAGTTGCCATAGGCACCCAAGTCTCATCAACCTTCAAATCCAAAGGTTTGGGCTTCGCTCCCACATCATCAGAAGTCTCGCGGTGTTTCTCTTTATCCAATGCTTTTCTTTTCTTCCTTCTCTCCATTGATGTAATAGATTGCGCAGTTGAAGATGGGGTTCCAGACCCATCAGCAACTTCTTTCTGCTTCTCCTTTTTCATTTTCTTTTTCATTGGCTCTGAAACAACATTATCAGTGCCTGTATCTAACTGATTTTCTACTTCCTCTGCCACACTAGACCCTCTTTTCTTACTACCCATTTATGCCTAATATATATTTCTACTTACCTGAAAACTGAAATTAATACACAAATATACAAAATTAACACAAGCCAAAGGAACAACAAAATGTATATACAATGATTACAATCATTGTACTTCAGACACTACATTAACCAAATGTGCACAAAGATTGATCATTTTTCGCTAATGCTCTGTTTGGTTGCATCGAAATATAAACCAAGCTGAATCTGAAACAACCATATAGATTTTAATTCAATTCGTTATTTCATTGTTTCGGAATACAAATAAAGGCAAATCAAAATGGCTATATTTTGTTTTTCCATCTTTGCCTGGTTTTTCTCGGCAACCAAACAGATGGCAAAAGAAAATTGAAGAAAATGAATAAAGAACAAACCTGGGAGAGAAACTAGGGTTTGTGAGTACTGATATGTAGTAAGAGAACTGTTTGGATTAAATTTCTAGGGCTTTGTGAGGGCTTGTTAATGTGATTCGATTCGGGCCGCCCTGAAACATGAAGAAGGAGAAGACGCGAAGAGTGTGTTCTGTGTTTTATATTTATTGTATAGTGCGTAAGTTTAGTAAAATTATTAAATAACCCTGATTGGTAAGTACATTTACTCTTAGCCCCCCGTCTAGTTATTTTTATTACATTTTAGTGTACTAATTAGTATATCAATACTAATTATAACATTATTATTGACTCCACTCATTATATAAATTATACCAAAAATTTTTTAAATCATATTATATCATTAATTAATACATTAATTAATGTATATAACATTATTCTTTTGATATAGGAATTTATGACTGGATCGAAGTCCAAATCCAATAATGCCTAATATTTAATTACAAAGTTGAAGAAAATAAAAAACGTATAGATATATGTACGGGGAGGAAATAATTCTCCTCGTATAATCCTGTTGACCAAGTCCGCGCTCCTCCGTACGACGTCGCTTTGTCACCTGAAAACACAAACGTGAGCTAGCCGGCGGGTGTGTGCCGGAAACCTCTCCGATGCCTAAGTCAGAAAACTTGACAAATAGACAAAGCTCAATGTAATCATTGGAACCACGGTTCTAGTAGGTTCTAGTATATTATGAGGTATTTGAGATAATCTAAATGAATATATTTTGTCTTTTACAAAAAGATGTGTAAAAAAAATATAGAAATGATGTAACCCAAATAAGTACACTTATCTAAATATGTGCACTTATATGGGTTATGTCAAACACTCCTTAAAAATAAGTGAATCAATCAATAATAAATAATTAAAATAAATAAATCTATAATATTTATACATAACGCGAATAAAAAGCTAAATACCATTTAATACAAGTCAATACAAATTAAATTCATTAATACAACTAATACAAATATTAATTTCAAAATCTAACTCAAGTTTCTAGTCGTTCATTCGTTCAGCTAATAAATCTTGTATGTGAAAAATTATTATGTGCAATTAAAACCATTGTAATAGATTAATTGGGTGAATATATGTCAATATAAATAAAATTTTAAAATATATATTCATAAATTAGTAAAAAGTTAACTTTTTGACTTTTTAAACTTTCTTAGCCTCTGTTTGGGAAGTGGGTTGGCTTTTTGGCTTTTTAGCTTTTTTGGCTATTTTAGCCTGGGCTAAAAAGCTTGGTTTGGGAAGGACTTTTTGGCTTTTTGGCTTTTTTGACTTTTTTTGTGAGAGAAGAATGTAATGATTATAGGTTGGATGTGATGTTTTGTTTGTTATGGCTAAAATAGCCTATTTTGTTTTTTGTGGCTAAAATAACCAAAAAAGCCTGAAAACCATCTTGCCTATGAGAATATTTAAGTATTTTATCACATAGAAAAATGCTTAAGGTGAGTTGATTCTAAAATAGGATTTATGCTTATATCACTAAGGGTGTGTTTGTTTGGACGGACTGGATAAGGGGGGATTGTAATCCATCGAACTATTAGTTCTAGGATACATTGTTCCCGGACTATTTGGTTGGACTAGATTTGTTTCCTATATTTGTTTAATCATGGGATTAGATATCTGGATTGGACTATTTTTAGTGAATCCAATATTTGTTTGGGATATTATGGAGAAGGATAAATGCTCAAATAACTATTTTATCATTTTCAATTATTTACTAAGTAATAGTAATATTAAACATAGCTTTCCTATTTTAATTATTTTTAGTTAGATTAAATAAAAATTTATTTTATTTTATTTTTTGCACAATTAAATAAATTTATTTTTAAAAATTATATCAATAAAAATATATGTTATTTTTTAATTAAAATTTTAAATAAATTTATTTTAAATAATAATCAAATAATGAAATAAAATAAAACATCTATTAAAATTTAAATAATGAAATTAAATAAAATATAAACAAAATTTTAAAATAAAACATCAATAAAACATCTACAAAAAAAATATTTTAAAAAATTAAATAAATAAAACCAAAAAAAAATTAAAAAAATTATTTTACTTTTAAATTGAAACGTTTAAATTTTATTGAATTTTACTAAATATAATACATAATTAAATACCAAAGGGCAAAAATATAATTTTAAAAACTAATTGCATAGGTTATCTCATGGTTTCTATCCCACCCACTCCCATGGGATAGCATAATCCTACAAATATGGGACTAATAGTCCGAAGAAAAACTTTTGAAATAAACAACGGATTATTAGTCCATAATCCAATCCCATGCCCAATCCTTTCAAAACAAACACCCCCTAAGATTGTAAAATTTATTAAAAATTAGGGTAAATTACAAACACCCCCCTCGAGATTTGGTGAAAATACAGATTCTCCCCTGAGGTTTGAGAAATTACAAATTGCCCTCTGAGGGTCAAATTTTCATAACAAATTAGGAGAAATTAGGAGGAAATCTGTATGAAAATAAAAATCTCAATGGGCAATTTGTTATGGAAATATAAACCACAGGGGGTGGGATATAATTTCTCAAACCTCAAGGGAGAATCTGTATTTTCACCAAACTTCGAAGGGGTGTTTGTAATTTGCCCTAAAAATTAATCAAGAAACATCAATATGTGCCTTGAATATGCACAATCATTTTCATTGAATCGTTATTTTTTAAAATAATACTCCACACTATTTATTATTTGACATTTGTCAATTTATCTTCTAAAAACTTAACCAACAAAAAAATTTATTGAGTTCTATTATTTTAATCAATCAATATCAAACTGGACACTACACGTGTATGTAAATCACTTCTAGAAATATGATATCTGAAATCACAATAGAGTTAACTTTAATCAATGTAATAATATGTTATATTATGATATGTGTTACAAAATAATAATATTAATTTTAATTTTAATTTAAATTATTTACTTTAATAATCTTAGCATTATTGCTCTATAAAAGTATTAGTTGAATACTTATATAAAATAATTATTTGCTTATTTTGATCATTGTAGTTCTATTATGCTATAAAAGTATAGTTATCATATAATGATTTTATATAATATATTTTAAATTATAAGATAGTAAAACAAACACTCATTTTGATATTAAAAATAATAGTTAAATTAAAAAGAGAATTTAGTAATATAAAATTAAAAGTGATTCTAATTACTTATTTTTATTTAGAAAATAAAAATATATATAAATAGAATTACACAAAATTTATTTTATAATGATTTTATATGATATATTTTAAATTATAAGATAGTAAAATAAACACTCATTTTGATATTAAAAATAATAGTTAAATTAAAAAGAGAATTTAGTAATATAAAATTAAAAGTGATTCTAATTACTTATTTTTATTTAGAAAATAAAAATATATATAAATAGAATTACACAAAATTTATTTAAAAGATTAAATATAAATATATTATGATTGGATTAAAAAGAAAATAAATTAGAACATAAATATGTTGTGATTGAATTAAGAAGAAAATAAATTAATTAATTATGTAGAGTATTGATTTTTTCTTTAATATTTTTTTTGAATTATCCATTCATATTGTATATAGGTATATAAAATTTAAATTAAATATAAATATTTTGTAATAAATAATTTCATGTTAAATAAGAAAAATTAAATATAACTTAATATTAAGACGAAAATTAAAAATAAAAAATAAAATTAATTTAATCCGTGCGATGCACATAATTAAGCACATTTTATCTTATTTATTTATTTGTATATCGAAATAAATTTTTTGAAATGTCATAATAATTAAACTAAAATATCAACTATATATAAAAATATATGAAAAATAAGTATTTTTTGAATAAAGTCCATATAAAATTGGTTATTATAATTAAAATTGAGTTTATATAAAACTTTATATTTAAATAGAAAAGACATATTGATGTGGCTTTTTAAAAAAAAGTAAGCATTTAGAATGTGTCGCCAAAGTAAAGAAAAAACACTACTTTTAATAATATATATATATATATATATATATATATGATGAGAGACACAAGACTTGAATCTAAGACCATTCATTTAACTTGCTAAAAAACACTCTTATTACTTAAATAACATAAAAAATATATTATCAATTTAAAATTAAAATTTATATTTTATTCACACCCATCACACCCTAATATAATATGATTGAACACGATCATATAATATTGTTTCAAAAACTAGATAACTGCTTCACTCAAACCCCACGACACTCCAATGGAAGAGTTGGCATAACTGTCCTATTTGTTTTATCTTTATCATCTAAACCCAACACCCACAATAATTTTCATTTATATATTATTTAGTACAAAATTACAATTTTTAGTAATGTAAGGGAAAAAAAGTACACATAAATCCGTAGCTTTATAGGAGTATTCTCACAAATACAATAGATAAAAACCTCATCAACATTAGAATGACCCAACATATATATCCGGGAGTGCAACTGTTTAGTAAGCTTCCCGCACTGCAATTGAATGGCATTGAGAGAAATTTAGGAAGTAGAACCTTTTCACAGAGGAGAGCGATAGGCCGGTTTGAAGAGCAAGCTCGAAAATAATTGGAGAGGTCTATACGCTCATAATTGAAATTTAACAACAGATTAAAATTAATATTAAAAAAAATATTCGGTCTGATATTTTTGAGCCTCATAAAAACCAATCTTAATTAAGAATCCCATCAAAAATCAGATCAAAACACATAATTTATACCAACCCAGATCGATAAATTGATTTCACCAAATTTTATGATCGCACAACATGCATTTCAGCTAACTAGAAAGAGTTTTAATCAGTACTAAAAGAATACCCAACTTTCATAGAACGTAAATGAATCAATATTTCCCTATGAAATGGAGAGGATCCAAATCCCCACAAAAATGAAGCTTCCAACTACAACAACCAAAAAAAAAATAGAGGTACTGAGCTCTCACTCATCAAAATTCAGATACTTTTCCAGACTAAAATGGATCTCAAAGAATACCACAAGACAATGATCACCAGCGTAGCCGTGTAAGAATTCACCAGGAAAATCTCTTCTGCTCTTCTGCAGAAATTTCAACCTATCAATAAAGTTTTGAATCGGGCATTATCACATAATAAATCAGCCAGGACACCAAGGCTCCAAATTTTTAAATACAAAACTGCTAACAAATTATATCATGAGAACCAAAAATTACTAAAATTTTATCTCATTGTCTGCCCATTTTCTTAGCCAGTCTCACCACCTACTTCTTCACCTCCTCATACTCTGCCTCGGGAGCTTGGTCACCACCCTGAGAACCCCCTGAGGCAGAACCATCACCAGAACCTCCCGACATGTGCTGTCCAATCTTTGAAACAGCCTTGTTTGCAGCATCAAGCTTTGCTTTAATATCTTCCACATCGTCTTTCCCCATTGCACTCCTCAAGTCTGCAACAGCAGACTCGATCTCCGAAACCACCTCACTTGGAACCTTGTCTTTGTATTCATTCACGCTCTTCTCAATGCTGTAAATGGTAGTGTCTGCATTGTTTTTCAGATCAATCAGAGTTTTCCTTTCTTGGTCCCTCTGAGCATGCATCTCGGCTTCCCTGACCATCTTCTCGATTTCATCTTCCGAGAGACCTCCGGAAGAACGAATGGTGATCTGTTGTTCTTTCCCGGTGGTCTTGTCTTTAGCAGAGACAGTGACAATACCATTGGCATCGATATCAAACGTGACTTCTATCTGAGGCATGCCTCTAGGAGCAGGTGGAATGCCAACAAGATCAAACTCACCGAGAATCTTGTTGTCGGCAGCCATCTCACGCTCACCTTGCAGTACTTTTATACCCACCTGAGTTTGGTTGTCGGCTGCTGTTGAGAATGCCTGAGACAAGAAACAGCATTCATAAATATCAAAACTATGGTTGTTATAATCTTACCATTCACGATTCGATTCATTCGATTCATATTGATCGATACAAGTTTCAATCAATATGATCAATTCAAGTTGTTGAATCTTAAATTGCATGAATCTTATGATTCAATTGCAATTCAATACAATTCATTCCGATTCACTACAATTCGCTAAAAGTCACTGCGATTCAATTTTGTTTGCATAATGCATGAAACAATGTCATTCTCGCACAAAAGAAGAGATCAATTAACTATACTAATGTATATCATTTTATATGTATATACAAGTATACAATTTAGTTATATTAATATTTATTTCATTCCAGATACTATGTGATATACACATAAAATTATATATTCACGATTCTATATGATTCATGATTCACGATTCACTATTTTAACAAAATGATTCATCATCCAATATAAAGGTTTCTACAATTACACATATTTCCATTTTAATGCAAATTCAATTCCTTGTGCAATGACCACAAGATGGATATTCAATCATGACTTCTTACTAATAACATTGATGACACTAAGGTTGGAGTTTGAAGAACAAAGAGTTACCTGGCTTTTCTTTGTCGGAATGGTTGTGTTCCTATTGATCAATCTGGTGAAGATACCACCTAGTGTCTCAATACCAAGTGAGAGAGGAGTGACATCTAGGAGAAGCAACTCCTTAACGTCTCCACGGAGAATACCTCCCTGGATAGCAGCTCCCATGGCAACTGCCTCGTCAGGGTTTACACCTTTGCTTGGGCTCTTACCAAATATTTCTGCCACCACTTCCTGCACTTTTGGAACACGGGTCATGCCTCCCACAAGAAGAACCTCGTCCACATCTTTGGTTGTTATGCCAGCATCCTTCACACAGTTCTTGCATGGGCTCCTTGTCCTCTCGATTAAGTGGTTCACCAAGGTCTCAAATTTTGATCTGGTCAATGTTATATTCAAGTGCTTTGCACCGGAGGCATCGGCTGTGATGAATGGTAGGTTGATCTCAGTCTGGGATGTTGATGACAGTTCAATCTTGGCCTTTTCAGCGGCTTCCCGAAGTCTCTGAAGGGCAAGCTTATCCTTCGATAAATCGATCGACTCAGTTCTTTTGAACTCACTCACTAAGAACTCCAACAGAGCATTGTCAAAGTCCTCTCCTCCCAAGAATGTGTCACCATTTGTTGCTTTCACCTAAACATGAGTTATCAAGGTTACACATGAATGCAGATTAACAAACACCTGCTTAAATTTAAAGCAATTTGCATACCTCAAAAACGCCATTAGAAATCTCTAAAATGGAAACATCGAATGTTCCACCACCAAGGTCAAAAACAGCAACAAGACCTTCCTTGTTGTTCAAACCATAGGAAAGTGCAGCAGCAGTAGGCTCATTAATGATTCTCTGCACATCAAGGCCTGCAATTCGCCCAGCATCCTTTGTCGCTTGTCTTTGAGCATCATTGAAATAAGCTGGTACAGTGACCACAGCTTTTGTAACCGTCTTTCCAAGGTATGCCTCAGCAGTTTCTTTCATCTTAGTCAGGACGAATGCACCAATTTGGCTTGGAGAATATTGCTGCCCATTGGTCTCAACCCAAGCATCTCCATTGGGAGCCCTAACTATCTTGTACGGAACCATCTTCATTTCTTTCTGTGTCTGGGGGTCATCAAAACGTCTCCCAATGAGACGCTTGGTACCAAAAAGTGTGTTTGTTGGGTTGGTCACAGCCTGACGTTTGGCAGGTGTACCCACAAGAAGCTCTGCCTTTTGGTTAAATGCAACCACTGATGGTGTGGTCCGAGATCCCTCAGCATTTTCAATCACTTTAGGATTCTACAAAAATAATAATAATATTATAAATAAAATAAAAGCCAAGACTCAAGAGTTAATCAGGTTTCTAATATTAACATCAAAATTTTCATCAAACAAGTGTGTCGAATATTTAGGACCACAATAGCGCTAACCTTGCCCTCCATAACTGAAACACATGAGTTTGTGGTACCCAAATCAATTCCAATAACATCATTTCCGGCAGGCTTTGAACTGTTTGGAAAGGAAAATTAGTCAGAAGCTAGAACAAAAAAATATTAAAGCACACTAGAATAGAGCATTTAATCTGATATACCTAAATGGTCTGGCCAAACTACCCCATCTGTGTTGTGAGGTAGACCAAGATGATTTTGCATTTCCAGTCAACTGCAAAGACATTACAGAATATAACATTCAATATGCAGTTCCATCCATTGAAATAAGGCCAACTATATAAAACATAAATAAAAATAAAAAAATCTCAAAAGTCTGCTGCTCTAGTAATTATACAAGTTCTGAGCATCAAGAAGAGCAATGCAGATTCATACATACATATATATATATATATGATAAACAAAACCAGAAAATGTAATGCAACTGAATATAAGAAGAAACAAATCAAGAGGAGCCTAAACTACTTGTACATAAAAAAATTATGCGAAAGAATCAAATCATGCAAAGCCTGCTTCATAACATAGGTTAATTAATACTCTAAAAGATGTCAGTACTAGTGCCCCATGAGGAGCTACGACACAAACAACAGAATTAAGCCCATGTTGTACTATACATACAAACTTTAAAATGAGCATTCCTTACAACTAGGGAAAATATTGCCACACAACGAAACATTTCAGAAATTTAAACTATAGAAATGTGCCACACTTTCTTACTGCAAAAGAGCAATTGAAAAGAAACAAAAAATGAAGGGCAGCAGGAGAACAGCTAAGTAACCAGACAAGACAAGCACATTATTGAAGGAACTTTACCAAAATGCTCAGCACCACCACAACCCATCACCTTGGAAAAGGCACAGTGAGCATAAAACTAACCAGAAGAAAATGAAAATAATAAAAAATAAAAATAAAAATAAAAATTGAAGCATTTTAGACATGAAAATCAATATATGGTTCAAGAAACAGAGAATCGCGATAATTCAACAAGAGGTGCAGTTAAATACACCTCAAAATAAGAAATATTATCCAAAGACACAAAAAAATCACACCAAGTATTATGATAAGGTAACGGGTCACACTAAAAATGGGCTATTGTTAAGGTGAAAATAATTAAAATCACACAAAGAATATGATGCCAATTTTTTTTGTAAATTTTAAAAACCAAATTTGGATTTGGTCGATTGATCATGTGCGAACTAAGGTTGAGGTAGACAATGAAAATAAAATTTGTCAATCTTCAAAAACACTTGTACACATGTTGGTGCATTATGCACAAAATTTTAATTTAAGTACAACAATCTAAATAGTTCTTTTAATTATAAGAGAAAATTATCTTCTATAATAGGCTTTATTGGTGTTTTTGATGGACATAAAAGGCTAGAGGAGCAAAAGACAGGTTTAAACTTTTTTTTTCTTCTTTTTTTTTTTTTGGGAGCAGAGGTTTCAGCTGTAAATTCAACCCAGTCCTGCAGTGACCTATGTACTATCAAGTAAGTTACTGACAAAAATGAATAAACCCTAGATTACTCGTCGTTTGGAGCCCAAGAAGACTATAACTGAACCTCAAAATAATCAATAATTTTCTAGGGAAACAAACATACTGTTAGATCAGGCAACAGAATCGCATCTACTATACACCAAATTAGAACCCAAATCATAAAAGTGACTGAGATCAACAAGCAATAGATCAAACGACTAAATATACCAACATCAAGATCTATGAAATGTGGCGAGGAATTAGTACGTACGGATTTGTAGGCGGAGAGAGAAGCGGAGAACTCGCGGCGACGAAGAGATCTGAGCAACACAGCGGTCGCCATTTGAGAAGAGAAATCAAAAATGGATTGATCGAAAGAGAGAGAAGTGAAAAGGGTTTAATTTAGGGGTTGTGGTTTTTGGGTCAGAGGGTTTGTTAGGGTTTAGGGTTTTTAAGAATGAGATGAGGCTTGGGAGAGGAGGCGCAGACAATACGAGATTTTAGAGAGAGAGAGAGAGAGAGAGATGATGAACTACGTGGACAATAGTTTTTCATTAGTCGAAGCTTCTAGAAATTTGATGGATGTGGCATTCCTCTATCTACGTTTCCACTGGCACAATTTATTTATTTTATTTTTTTAAAAATTAAAATTCCTTTTGGAAAGAAAAAAAAAATGGTATTTATTTCATAAGACCTATAGTGTTTTATAATATTTTATTAGGTCCATTTCATACTAAAAGACTAAAAAAATCCTCAAACAAACACGCACCTATCATTTCTTTGAATCAAATAACGGTCTCTCTTCCCCTTTCTTCTTGTAGGAAATCACGCACAGTATCTCCACCATTCCAAAAATTCAAAACCCTATTTCATATCGTATCAACGCCCAGAAGACTGTCTTTGTTCCATCGTCGCATCGTCTTATCATCTTCTTTGTCATCCCTACGCCGTCGGTCGCCAAAATCGTGGAATCGCCATTGTTGAACATCCATAAGGTCTATTTTCGTTAAAATCACCTTCGACGATAATTTGTGACAACACAATCGTCGAAATAGGCAAAAAACGTAAGTAATCTACTCATTCGTGTATTTAAACAATAAATTTCTTTTTCAACAAATAGCATTGTGAACTTTCACAAATATCCCATGTTTCTATTCATACAATATATAGGAGTCCATATTGTTCATACCCTAACCTTTAATCTGAACCCCTCAATCATAATCCCTAATTATATTGATTTTTTCACTAAAAAACATTACAGTTGCCATTATGTTGTGATCACAATTGTGAACATTCAAATGGTTTAGAAGAATGTATGCCAAACCGAATTATTTCTGTTGTTGTTGTTGAAAACTGTGAACATTCACATGGATTGAAAATATTTGGATAATCAAATTATTTCAGATATTATTATTGTTGTTGTTGAAAGTTGTGAACATTCACATAGATTGAAAATGTTTGGCCAATCATTATTTTGTAATATTGTAGTTATTTTTTTTCCCCTTTTATGAATGTTTGCCTTGTTGGTATTGTTGATTGTTAATGGTGATCCAATAACTTGAACCTTCAATTCTTGATTATTTTCCATGAAAGTGGCATGAAATATAGTCCCTGCAAATATTGACACTGTCAGTACAACAAAAGTAACCTATGGTGACGAAAATTAGTGAAGAAAATAAATTTCGTCACTAAATAAAAATAATTTATGAGGAATTTATAAATTTTGTCACATATAATAAAAAAATAAAAATAATAGGTGACGAAATTTATTTTCGTCAATAAATACTTCCTTTTAGGTGAGAAAAAATTAAGTTTCGTCACCAAAAAATTTCCTGCTAATTTTTTTAGGCGGCGCCAAAATTTTGGGACTTTTGGTGAGAAAAAAATTTGTCACTAATTATAAAATTATTTGTAAGGAATATATTTTCGTCACCAATAATTTTTAATATTTTTGAGATCTTTTGGTGAGGAAATAATGTTGTCACTAATTTTGGTGGGAAAAATTTGATGTATTGAGCGGCAATGAAAAAAAAATAGGATATTAATTTTTTTACCCCTTTTCTACTTATCATCTCTCTCTCTCTCTCAAAATAGGGTATTAATTTTTTTTTGCCCCTTTTCTAATTATCAACTAACTCTCTCTGTCTCTATCTCTCTCTCTGTCTGAAAACACACGCACGTCACCTTTCTACCATCGCTTTTTGCCCTCGCTACCCCATCTTCAACGCCTACGCTACCGTTGGCCCTTCTTGTATACACAGGACTCCACTCTCTACATCAAACTCGGGTTCTTTTTTCTCTATTTTTTTTCTTGTATTGCATCAATTTAATTGAGTTGTTTCAAATTTTTTATGGGTTTTCAATTTTCACAATTTTTTTAGCTTATAATCTGACTTTGTTGTTGATTTGGTAAATAAATTAGTGAAAGAAACAAATTTTGTCACTAAATAAGAGTAATCCATGATGAATTATAAATTTTGTCACGTATAATAAAAAAAATAAAAATAATAAGTGATGAATTTATTTTCATCAATAAATACTTCTTTTTAGGTGAGAAAAAAAATTAAGTTTCATCACTGAAACTTTTCCTGCTAATTTTTTTGGATGACGCCAAAATTTTGACACTTTTGGTGAGAAAAAAATTTGTTACCAATTATAAACTAATTTATGAGGAATATATTTTTGTCACAAATAATTTTAAATATATATGTTTTTTAGAAACTTGATTTGAAATATTTTAATACTATTTGGTGAGAAATATATTATTATCACTAATAAATTTTAATATTTTAAGACCTTTTAGTGAGAAAATTATTTTGTCACTAATTTTGGAGGGAAAATTTTGAATCACATTGTCCATCTTGGCATGATGACTTGTGTATGTAGAGAGTGGGAAATTTCTCGGGTCCCCAAAGTAAGTAGAATATATGAGGTGGACCCAAATATGTATTGCTACATTGATGCCTTGAAGGATGTGACTGAAACAGTCATTTCTCACATTGATTGTAGTGAAGCAATAGCTATCACATTGCATTGTGATATGCCTGGTACTGAGAATAAGAGATTAATAGAAAATGATCTTGATGTATTGGATATGTTTTATGTGCAAGGTAGGAGTAAAACAATTAACTTATATGTTGATATTGCATATTCTCTTGGAATGGAAGATAGCGGAGATGGAAATGATATTGGAGATGAAAATAGTGGAGGTGATGGAGTACATACTGTAGATGCAGATGAAGAGTACCATGAGGACAATGTCTATGGGTTTAGTGATGAGGATAGGAATTTGAATGCAACTGTTGATGATGAACATGAATCAAATGGCACTGAGAGTTTGAGTGATAAGGGTAACGAGGAGTCAAATGAGGATGATGATGATGTACTTGGTGATTACCAATCTGGTGATGATGAAATAAGATATTTTACCAGTGATGATGAATTTGATGGTGAAGTAGACTGGATGGATGATGAAGAGATGGCATATCCAAACAACCAATTTGATAGGACCTACAATAGAAAAGAACCGTATTTCAATCAAGAAGGAGAAGTGGTATTAGAAAATGGAATGATTTTTCCAGATGTGCATAGCTTTAGAGCTAGATTGAGGGACTATGTAGTGCAGACTGGTTTCAAGATAGTTAGGGACAAAAACAAGAAAGCCAGAGTGGCAGCCTATTGTGCTGCTGAGGGATGCCGTTAGAGAATTCATGCATCTCCTCTTCCAGATGGGCTCAACTAACCACTTCTAGTTAGCTTACAACAAGTTTATAACATGAAATTGAAGTAAGAAAAGAAATCTAAGAAAGAAAATGCAAGAAAGTAAAAGAAAATAAAATGTGTGCAAAATTTACATTCTAAGAAAGGATTTGATTTCTAAACTTTCTTTTGATTACCCTTAAGTTTAGGAAGTGTGTTCTCAATTCTTAGTTTGGAAAATTCAAAATTGTTATTGGAATGAAGTTTTTGGGTTGTTTAACAGTGTGTGTGGAGGGAGTTATACAACTCTCTGTTTTTCTCTCTTTTGATGACACTCACTCTCTTTTGAATCAAAGCTCTTGAATTTGGCTATAACATAATTTTTTGGGATTGTTTTGATGTATGGAAGATGGAATATCAGTGTATATGGAAGTTTTGTTTCAAAACTTGGGCAACCCTCTTTTTCTCTCTATATCTCTTCTCTTAATTCATTCTCTTCTCCTAAATTTTTTATTCAATCTTGATACATTCTTACCGTCTATATAGACAATGAGGGAAGGCAAAGTCAAGGAGGTGGGTGACAAGGTGAGAGACATGGATGATATAACGACAAGGGTGAGTGAAATGGATGCTCTCTTTTGGGTAAAACACAAACACCCTTTTGACAATGGAGGCCAAAGGATGATAATAGAGGATGAATAGGTGCACCTCGTGCATGCATGTATCAACAAAACATTTGTAATGGCATGGCCCACATGTTTTCAACAAGAATTTTGCTGAAACTACCCTACTCCTGGGAAAATTAGCCGACCTGCCAATTCCTTGGCTGACCGGCAAATTAATTGGCCGGCCGACTAGAAATATTGGCCATGGCCTGACTATTTTGCACGAAATAAGATTTTTTGATAGAATTATCATCTATTCCTCATATTTCCGCACTGTTCTTTGCTCGATTTCCTGAGAAAATGCCTTATTTTGAAGTTTAAAAATGAGCCTTGGAACACTATGAAAATATTTGGAACAAAGCGCGAAAAGATAGTTTCGAAAGCTAATTTTGAACGAGACTTAAACACTTGGCCAAAACAAACTTAGGTTTAGGAGCAGAGCTCAAATTCCATACTTCTTATTGAGAATTATATGAGAAACACATTCTTGTTTTCATCATCAGCTAATCAAAAGAAAGCGCCCAAGTCTTAGAGTCGGTCAAAATGGAGTGTCTACAGTTGCCCCTTCTTTGACAGAACTTGAAGTCATTTCTTGATGTGAGTGAATGTTAAAGTCTGAAGACGACCTGTTTGACAAGGCCATAAAACTTGGGCAAACAAACAAGATACAAATATAGTTGGTTGAACCCGAAGGTTGCTTATGTATCCCTTTGCAAGGAATCAAACCAGCATAATTTAGGGACAAAAATGCAAATGACATGCTCAAAATGCAATTGAAAACTGGACTTACATGCCTCACGAAACTATTTTTTATTTTTATTTTTTTTGTTTCTTGAAAATTCATGATTTACAATGCAATGTAACAGGTAATATGTGAGGATAGCCTCGTGTAAATGATACGAAGCATAACAGGGGATAGCCTCGTTATCCCCAAGGGGGCCAGCATTAACCCATGAAAAAGGTTTTAATCAAATGTTGATGTGAATAGATTATAGCCAAGTGAAGCAACAGTGATAGTTGTAACCATGCAAATGATATGCTAATACAATTGAAAGTTGAATTTTTTTCTTTTCTTTTTGAAAGTGCATGATTTATGCAATACAATATGTATGATGCAAAACAAAGGGGTACAATCCAAACACAATCACATGAAAAGATAAAAG